TTGACTGCAGCATGTAATGGAAAAGGTCAAGGAGAAATATTCCAGTGCATCATTTTCTGATATTAATCTTCCATTATTGAAGCCCTTTTCATTTGGTTCGTTAAATGATCCGCTTCTTTAAATTTACCTTTGTAAAACTATAATCTTTATTCATGCAGTTTATTCATTATATTTTGTAACAGAATCAGATCATGTTTTTGATGCCATTTCATCGGATAATTTTATTTCTAAGCTACAAAACAGCAGTGCATTGCTTGTTCAAGTTTATTCAATTGGTAGCAGCCGATGTGCCCAATTTTCTAGTCTTTGGAAAAGAATCGGTATATATATATATTTTATTTTATTTTTATTTGTGTTTTTTTCTAATAAATACTCTATAACTTATTTAGCATTTGGTTTCTTGTATATATTTCAGCTAGTTTATTGGATGGTATAGCAAATACTGGGATGATTGATATTAGTGATCTTAAGCTTGCAACATATTTATCTGAGAAGAAATATACAGGAGCTCCTTTCTATCGAAATGGTTGGTAATAATTAAATAATAATAATAATTAACCATATTATTTTTTTTATTAAAATATTGGACAAGTTAATAATTCTCCAAGTTATTGATATGATACAGGTGTTCCTTCACTTTTGGCTTTTCCCCCTGGGTGTAAAACCTCGGATTGCATTGTAAGGTGAGTTTATGCGGATAATAAATAAGTTAATAACCATATTATTATTGTTATTAAAAGTTTAAAACATAAAAATAATAATAATAATAATAATTAATCTTCCAAATAATTGTCTATAGATTATACTTTTACAATTTGTTAGGTACACCGGTGAGTTGTCTGTTGATGCTGTTACTGATTGGTTTGCAACAACCATACTAAGCTTACCTCGTATTTCATACTACTCCAGGGACACTTTGGTAATTTCCATAATCTCTCTCCTCAAGTAGACATACATAATTTTTTTTATTACATTGTTATAAAATGTAACATCTGTTTAATTACAGGCACAAAGTTTTCTAGGAAAAGGGAGTCGGCATAAGGTACATATACATTTTAACTTTCAACCCTTTTTATTCACATTCAAATGTTCAATATTATCTTAACTTTTTTTTTTTTTTTTTTTTAATTTTAATATTTTTTTTTACTAGGTCAAAGTCATTTATGTTTCAAAAACAGGACAACGCGCCACACCATTTGTGCGCCAAGTGGCGAAAGCTTATTGGCCGTATGCCTCATTCGCATTCACGGTTTACAGAGAAGAAGAATCTATCTTTTGGTCAAACACGTACTTTTCCACTTTGACTTTTCTTATAAGGTTTAAATTAGTGATTAATTTTATTAAACATATATTACAATAATAATAATAATAATTCCAGATTTGGTGTGGAAGAAGCTCCTGCCATTGTTATTCTAAGAGACCCTGGAGTCAAACCTGTAGTCTACCATGGCTCAATCAACAACTCAAGACTTATTGATATCATGGAACAAAATAAGCATCAAGGTGCATAAATCATTTTTGTCACAATCTTTTTTTAATAAAATTATATTTAATTATTTTTTTTTTCAGTGCTTCCCCAATTAAGAAGTGTCACATCCATGGAGCTTGGTTGTGATCCAAAAGGCTACTCACGTGCTGGAAACGACACCACTGTTTGGTATTGTGCTGTTCTTATTGGAAGACAAAGCACTGAACTCCATAAAATGCGTGAAGTAAGATTCTTATCTTAATTCATAAAACAATAATCTTTTTATTTTTTTTCTTGAAAGAATAATATTATATGTTATATTGTTAAAGATCATGCGTAGGGTCCAAGATATACTATCAGATGGTGAAAATGTAAATCAGGCTGACCAATACCAAGCCGCCATGTCAGCATTGAAGGAAAAAAGACTCACATTTGCTTGGGTGGATGGTGAAGCACAAAAGGTATACATACAACAATTTTTTATTATGGGATAATATTTGAATTAATTAATTAATTTTTTTTTTGTTACAGAGGTTTTGTTTGTTTTATGTAAATGTGGAGGAGAGTTTTGATACATGTGGACCAAGGAGGGATGTAACAGATGTCGCGAGGTTATTTCTTGTACGTTACAAAAGAAATGATACAGAAGCTAATAAAATTAATGAAAAAAACTCAATGAACATGTTTGCTACAATTGCTTCTAAGGATGTGGACCCCACATCCCAATTAGTGGCACTTTACAAAGGTTTAGATGAAGCCCCACAGGTTTGAATTTGAAAATCTCTCCATGAAAAATATTTTTTAGATTAGCTTTTCTTCAAGTCTTGAGATTTTTATATGTTCGAATTTGTGGCAGATAATACAATGGATCTCTGAAACAGTCAAAGATGGTGATTCCAGAGATCTTCCCTTTCATGTGAGTTTTTTTTTTTTTTTTTTAATAAACAAAACTTATATATACTTATTTTGTGACACATGTGTTTGTATAAAATTTGATTAAATGCAGAGAACATCAACTCCTGAGCTAGTGGCTGAGGATGCGGATCCTATTTGGTCAAAGGGAAGAGAACAAATTATTTCTTCAAGCAGGGGGATGAAACAGAGGCTTGAAAACATCCCTGAAAGAATTCATGATGTTATGGAAGATCCAAGGTTTGGTCCAATGTTGCTTTTGGGGGCATTGATGTCATTTGGTTTCATTTATTTGAGGAGAAATCAGTCCATTAAGTCAAGTCAAACAAATACCGAGGTAAACATTGGGTAACCTCTCTTTCTTCTTGTATTAATTCCAATGTATTTTTTTTTTCTATAATAAACAAACAAATAAAAGTATGTTGCTATTTCTTGCATTTTTATCTGACGATTGTATGTGTTTGACAGGGTGATGAGCGACCAAAAATGAGAAGGAGAAGGCCAAATAGACATAAAAAGCAGGATGCAGCGCCTTCTGTTACTGACATGCAACCACCTAATGCTTTTCAGATGCCGTTTACAGATTCTGATTCTGATTAAAGAAACTATGCATAAAAAAAATTGAAAGCTGCTTTTATATAAACTACATGAAACAAGAGGTCTTAAATTAATATATGGTAGGTACTTCAGATGTGACTTTATAGTTATATGTTCATAATGTATGAGCATCCAAATCTTGAATCATTTTTACCTAATTTGTAATTTAGTCCTGGTTTTCATAACTTTGTTAACAACTTAATGTCTTAATCAATCAATGTAATGATGATCAGGAATTGTTTTTGTTTTGTTGGGATAATGATGTTTAACCACTAAAGAAGTTTTCGTAAATTTCGGTTTAAATCAATTTATCTTTAAGACTTCTAATTTTAATTCATGCTTTTTTTTCTAAGTTTTCCTTTGTATCAAGAAAACGTTTTCTCCGAGTCTTCTTGTATGAATCTTGAACTTTAAATTTAAATTAAGATTTTAAAGCTTATAAATACCTTTGAATGGAGTATATTACTTGCCATTTATGAATTTTTTTAAAAAAAATAAAATAAATCAAAAGATGTCTGTTTTTAGTTGTTTTTTTTTTAATGATTTCTTGACTGGGTTGACATACATGAACCGCTTTTGAAAACCGGTGACAATCTTTGATATTTATCTAATTGAGTTGTTTGTTTGAAAGCTTTCACAAACTTTGATAACCCTCTCTTATATATTATCCCCAAACAAATTTACTTCACCTAGAGAGGAAATATAATCATGTACGAATTCAACATGACTAGAGATGTCGAGGACCAAAATGAACACAATAAATAAAATTTACAGTTTTGGCCATTGTAAAAAAAAGAAAAAACAACATGACTACAATCCCCTTAAATCTTTTATGGGTATTTTTGGCCCTTAAATCTGTTACGAGCTTTAGTATCCTTGTATATTTCCCCTACAAAAAGCTGTGTATTTAGGACCAAAATGAACATGGCTACAAACCCCGAGGAGCTGAGTGTAAACTGAAACTATAAATAAATATCCAGTTTTGGTCCATCCTGTAAAAATTCAAAAAAAAAATTTGCTTTCATTGAGAGTCGAACTCAAGACCTCCCGCTTACTAAACGGGTGCTCTAACCAACTGAGCTATGAAAGCTTTTGTTCAATGTCCAAGGTAATTTGCTTAAATCCGTTATTTGTGAATTTATGATCTTTTTACCATACGAATTTATCAACATTGATGGATTTTAGAATATTAAATATAAAATAATAATATCAGGTGTTCATATAAATTGTACTCTCTTTTTTGTGCTAGCATGATAAAAAAATAAAATTGTTTTTATTTTTAATGACACATGGTTATTGATGAGATGTATTTTAATAATCGGGATTTATTTAATTACAGAAATGGAGTATACCTCGAAAGTTTAAAAATTAAATTTTAAAAAAGAGTTTTTAATTAAAATTTAAAAGTGTCTTTAAATGCAACTGCACATACGTTTTAAAACAACGTGATGCATGAATACGTGGATAATTGCATCATATTATGACTATGTTACGTCTTTTTTTACTTGAAAATTTAAAACAAACAAGAAAAACTATGGGTAAATAATATGGTTAATCTCATTCTTTTTATTCATTCCTTGTCCCCCCCCCCCCTTAGACATTATTGAAATTTCAAAAATAATATTAGTGGCTTCGCAGTTTTCCAATTTTGGGTTTTCATTCAATTCTTGAGTTTCTGCTTTGTGTTTTCTTGTGACACAAGTATATTTCAATAAACCTCAAACAAATTATAAATTTTTACAGGTTAGTGCTACCTAACCAAAATAAATGTACATAATAACATCCAAAAAGAAAAGCATGTCTGAAATGAGTAGAGATTCCTCCTCCACCTTTAATTTACCATTTGTAGCTTCCCTTTTTTTGTACAACACAAGTGCAAGAATGTTGGCTTCCTTTCCTCAGATTCCAATCAAAAATTGTTGCTGAAACAGTCATCACCACAAATTTCCAGTGGTGATCTTCGTTTTGTTACCAGAGTCATTAAGGAGAATCATCATCATCATCATCATCATCATCATCATCATCATGATTCATGAAAATGAGTAGTGGATGTGGGATGCCCATTCAGATCCACATCTATCCCATTAACTTTCCTCACAAACTGTCCCCTGACGCGTGGCCTTCTCTCAGCTAATTTTTTCCTATTCACATACCTTATTTTCTTATCATAGCAACGCTCTTTCCTCTTCTGCCTGAACTTCACCAAAGCTGCTTCTCTTCTATCCATTTTCCCCTCATTCTGCCCCTGCCCCGGTGGTGGTGGTGGTGGTGGTGGTGGTGGCGGTGGTTGTAAACAAAGATTAACCGGGTAGTACGGATATGACGTCATCTGATGATGATGATGATGATGATACATTGTTGCTTCTGATGATGATGATGGTGGCATCATATTCATAACCTGATTCATCGCATTTGCACCATGAAGATAATACGGGTAACCAGAATGACGATTATACCCTTCTTCTATGTGTGCTTTGGGAAGAAACTCTAGAGGAGTTGTAGATGACTCGTCCAGTGACACAGAACTGCAATGAAAGTCTTCTATTTGAGAAACATTTCCTCCATCACATGGCCTAACATTTTTGATCCACTTCTCCACCAGATACTTTGTCAATTTTTGATACCACTGGAGCAGTTTTTGTAAATATACTTGATTTGACATATGTAAGAAATGCTGAAGATTGACCTATCTTTAGTTCACTCTTCTTTGGACCACACATAACTTTCCCTAAAAACGATATTTGATATTACACTTGGTTTACTACGTTTTCAATATATTGATACAACTAGTTAGAAGAAAAATATAATCTAGATCGGATGAATTATTCACCTTGTTGATGGCCAGGAGCTAATATCACATTAATCTGAAAAGAAACAAGTCAAATTTTATCAAAATTGAATCCATGTAACTTGGCAATCTTTATTTATAGATGATTTTCACCTCGTTTGTATGATGGATTGATACAGACATCTCTAGATTGGCACTCTTTTGTGGCTTTTCATCTGTATCATCTGAATATACAGTACTGTTTGTGTTAACATCACTATGGTCTGAAGGTATGACATCAAATTCACAGTTCATGAGCTTCTTCTCAGACAAACCAAGCTGCCGATTGCAAAAAGTAAAGGTTAGAATTTAGAAATGCAATGATCGCTCACTCTACAAGATGATAATAACAGGCATACATACCATTCGTCTTCTTCTCCACATGTGTGTCCACAAATTCAAGAGCTCATTTGTCCTTAAAGGCTTCACAAGATAATCAGCTGCTCCAAGTCTCAAACATTTGACAACAAGGGTAACTTCGTCCTGTGTAGACATCACTGCGAGAAGGAAAAAGGATGAACTACTGGAAAATGAAAGCAAGAAGTGAATCCATGAATAACAAAGCTTACTGATCACAGGAATGCGTTGCAACTCTTTGCTCATGATGTATTTTAACATCTTCAAGCCTTTGGCCATAGGAAGATCGACTTCAGAAAGAATGAGATCGATGTTGGGTCCTTCAGCATTCAGAGCATCAATCACTTGCCTCGGTGATTTCACTGAAATCACTGTAAACCACAAAACATGCTCACATAACAGCACAGGAAAATATCAATGATAAACTAATTAGATCCGGTCTAACGCCTCAAATGAGCTCCCATATTTACAAGTTAGAGTACGATACCTTGATAGGTACATTTACGAAGAAGAGTAAAAACCTCTCCTGAACCCATCGAATCATTGTCACAAAGTAAAATTGTCACTTTACTGCGATCAATAAACCCATCCCCAGTCTTCCCAAAGTTACCTCCTCCAACTCCACCTCTGCCCAACGAGATTCCCTTTTGTTCCATCTCCCACATCAGTCAAATCAGACTCGCTCTATCCTTATACTTTCAACCACAGAAGCCTCGACAATCCCCCAAATTAAACAAGTATCAGAACGGAGTCAACACTAGAGAACTTCCATTATAGCACAAAATTTCGTGGACTTCAAATATAAAGGATTTGCCATCTAGGGTTATCGCTTCTAATTCTATTAACTCTATCAACATGAGATTACCACAGTTCTCACAAAACAAAAATGGAAAAAGGAAAATGAATCAGAAGTTCAGAAATGGAGCGATTAAACAATCAAATCCTCCTGATGTTCTGAAAACTCAACCGAACCAAAAACGAAAAGTATGTCACAATCTAAAATACCTAAAGCAACGACTCAAATCTTTCCCGAATCCCGCCGATCAAACGACAGAAGTTAGCATCGCCGAATTCGACAGGGAAGTTTCGGTTTTTAGCGTAAGTGTGTGAGAGAGAGAACGAGATCTTTGATTGGTGTTGGATCTTGTAGTGGATACTTCGCAAATTCACTTTCCACAGTGGTGGATGCTACCATGCGCCATGGTTAGGCGAATATCCTGAGACGTTAGATCTGACAGGATCGGAGTTGGGATGGGCGTATCGTAGGGTATCGGCGTACGTTAGACATAAGGCGGACGTGGAGAAAAGTGCACAAAAAAATGATTTGTGGAGCGCGTGAGGATAGTTTATTTAGGGAAAGAGAAGAGGCCACGTCAAGAAAAAAGAGATCTTTCCACGTCAGAAAAGAGCAGATATGATAATATTGATAGAGGGGACAGAGGGTCTAGGCCTAATTGGACACCAAAGTCCAGAGGATAGGGGACCCATAATTTGTCATTTACTTGTAGGAGGGTATGAGTTATTTTCATAATTTCTTTTCTCTAACATTTTTTTTACATCGGCGCCACATCAAAACGATCAAGTATTCTTTTTATCCAACTACTAAAGAAAGATTGTGTTGCACATTTATGCATAGAGATACAACTTGATTGGTATAGGTAATCTTGTGTTTGAAAGAATCTTGAGTTATCTAAAAGGCAAGGGTGGACCTAAAACAAAATATAAAGGTAGCGTATATTTTTAGGGGTATCTCTTCAAAAAAATTAAATTGTGCCTATAACTTTCTTTAAATATTTCACATTACGGTTGAAAAATTAAAGGGTAGCACGGGCTACGCCCTTGGCTCCATTGCAGGACCGCCTCCACCTGGTTTCCATCCCGCTAAATCCTTTTGGGCATGCAGATCTCCCTTAAAAGTGAATATTCAGACCAATTTGAATCAGGTGCATAGAGTAGATCGATCCAAACCAATTTAGGACCAAACGGTCTCAGATCGGTTGCTATTTCAGACCGATCATAGGTCAATTTTGTTAGTCCTAAATTGGTCTTTAGAAAATAAATGTTGAATTGGTCGCGTTTCAATCTAAATTGGCATAGATTAGGCTTTGACATGTCCTGTCTGCCATTAAAAAAATCCAAGATTTTGTTTCCGCCTCATACATTATTTCGTTTTTATATTCTCATTCTAAGATTTCTATTTTTCAATTCGAATTTATGTATTCTTTTTGATATTCATGATAATGGAATATCGTAAAAATTAAAAGTTCAATATTTTTGGCGATCTAACAACTACAAAGGGCGTGTTCGGCAAAAATGGCTGGTAGCAGGTAACATTTTGTTAAATGACACGTAAAGTAATATTTGGATTTAGTGTGTTTTGTTTAAACTAAACGCTAGAAGCTTGTAGTATTAAACGAGGTTTTCTGTTCAAAACAGAGAATTTTGTCAAACGCTATAAATCAGAAACTCTCAACGTTATTTGCCGAAACGCTCTGTTGTAAAGTCGGAAAAGGATTGACTAGGTGTATTTGTGCCTTGTTACAAGAGTGTTTTTCGAGTAACAATTTTTTCTTCTTTTCTTTTTTCCTACTACGCATTAGACCATAGAGGTTTTGTTAACTTTTTGATATTAGGTGTTGATATAAAACTTCTAAAAACTTAATATATTTAATATAAATCTAGAGTTATATCTTTTTTTATGTATAAACATCTCATGCCTTTTGAAACCTTTCACATAATCAACCCCTTGGGACCCAAAAATGTTATAAGTGATCGTACATTCGTACCCTGTTTGGCTTTCCATAACTGGTATGGTTTTTTTTTAACTGGGTCGAACCCGGTGGCAAAAGCACTTATCTTTTGCTCACCTATGTCCACTTATTTCAAGACATTTTGGTCATCTCTACAGCTCTACTTATCAAATAGAAAAATAATAACACGTGCACTGAAAAATTCAAGATGTAGTACCAAGTCTTTAGCTTACCGTTAGTTAGTGCCATATAATTAGGTTTGTATTTCTTTCTTCTTGCTGTATAAATAAATGTACATTAGCTGTATTTGAATGTATGATATACGCTTTACAGTACATTTTACACGTCGATTATATGGTATCAGAGCACAATTAATATTGGTATCACTTTTTTACCCTTCGTTTTTTTTTCTCTCCACCATGACCACTTTCGATCCATCACTCTTAACACAAGCCTCCACCGGTGCTGTTCCGTTTCATCTTCCTCAGATCACAATCAAACTTGATCGGGATAATTTCTCTCTCTGGCGGTCCACGATTACTCGATCTCTCGAAGCTTTTGATTTGGAGTCGTTCATCCTCCATCCCAATTCACCTCTAGCAACTTACTTCTCCAGCGATTCTGAAGAAGACAATGAACCTGAGCCAAAAATCAATCCAGCTTACACCCTTTGGAAGAAACCAGACAAACTCATTCTTTTGTGGATCAAAACCACCCTTTGCCTTCAGGCCATGGCCCTAATCACTCGAGCCACCTCTTCCTTTGATGCCTGGACCACACTTGAAAAATCCTTTCAATCGCAAACACGTGCCCGACGAATGGCGTTAAAAGTTCAACTCCAAACACTTTCCAAGGGCTCACTGTCGATGATCGATTACATCAAACAAAAGCGATCCATCGCCGACTCTTTAGCTGAAAATCTTCGTCCTGTCTCCGATGAGGACTTAATTGCTATCTTCTTTCTGGTTTAGATTCATCATACGTCGCCTTTGTCACTGCCTTCATGATGCACGTGGCCATAGTCACCGTTAACGACCTCATTGGCTTTCTTCTTCAAGAAGAAGCCCGTATTGAACAGGACCATCGTCGCCACTCACAGCTCATCCCCCAATCCTCCACCCCTGACACACCTGTCACTGGTTCCTCCCCCTTGCTGCCAATCGCTCTACCTTCAGACCCTCCAACAATTACAACCCCTCCACCACTTCATCCCCAAATCTCCGCCCTGATTCCCGCAATTCCACCAATCGGCAACCCCGCCCTATGTGTCAGTTGTACAAAATTCTGGATTACAAGTTTTTAAATACGTTTGGTTGCCTCTGCTATCCCTTATTGCGACCCTATACCACTCATAAACTCGACTTCCGATCCTTACCTTGCATATTTCTTGGGTACAGTCCAACACACAAAGGTTACCTATGTTATCATCAGCCCTCTTCCCGTATTTATGTCTCTAGACATGTAGTATTCAACGAAGTTGTCTTCCCATACTTAACCACACCCACATCAGCTTCCTTATCCATTCCCACCACATCATCTCCAATCAATTCCGATTCACTTGCACAAGCAGCAAATCTTTCACCACCTTCATCACCTACCATATCCTCCTCTTCATCTCCTATCCACAGTCCTGCTATTCCAGGACCCATTCCCTCCACTACACCCCCTTCCCCTCCTCCCATCCCCTCTCCTACTCCATCATCACCTACCCATAATCCACCACCACATCCCACACACTCTCCTTCCTCCCATACTCAACCTTCTACCTCTCACTATCGTCTCGCTCCACACAAAACACATCCAATGGTAACTCGTACCTCCACCAATATTCTTAAGCCTAAAATCTTCCATACATCCACCGATTCTGATTATGAACCACGTCTTTTTTCTCACGCTATTAAAATACCGTGTTGGCAATAAGCTATGCAAAACGAATACAATGCTCTTATGAGAAATGACACATGGTCTCTTGTTCCTTGTCCTACTAATGTCAATGTAGTTGGATGTAAATGGATTTTCAGGATCAAACGACGTGCAGATGGTACTATTGAACGCCACAAAGCCCGCCTTGTGGCTCAAGGATACACCCAAGAAGCTAATGTTGACTACTTTGAAACCTTCAGTCCGATGATCAAGCCTACTACCATCCGCCTGGTTCTGTCCATTGCCCTCTCTCAAGGATGGACGCTTCGACAACTTGACATCAATAACGCATTCCTAAATGGCGATCTCAACGAAGTTGTGTACATGAAACAGCCCCGTGGCTTTGAAGGTCCCACCAGACCCGATCATGTTTTTTGCCTTCACAAGGCTCTCTATGGGTTAAAGCAGGCTCCGAGAGCTTGGTTCACCAAACTCAAGACATATCTCATTACACAGGGCTTTACTGCTTGCAAATCCGATACCTCATTGTTTGTTCACATAAGTCCCACAACCACCATTTATGTCCTAGTTTATGTCAATGATGTCATTATTACAAGTAACAATACAGTCAGAATTCAGCAATTCATTCATCAGTTACACAAGAACTTTGTACTGAAGGATCTGGGTTCTCTACATCATTTTTTGGGACTTCAAATTACACCTACAGCCACTGGTTTGGATCTTTCTCAACATCGATACATCATGGACATTCTCCACAAAAGCAAAATGGCAGACGCCTCTCCACTTAATACCCCAACTGATCCTGCTTCATGTTTGTCCCCTGATGGCGATCTGTTTCATGATCCAACACTGTTGACAGATCATCGGCTCACTCCAATATGCTACTATCACAAGACCAAACATTGCCTTTGCCGTCAACCGGGTCTGTCAATTCATGCACTCTCCAACAATTCTGCACTGGCAAGCAACCAAACACATTCTCCGTTACCTGAAAGGAACTGCCACTCACTGCCTTCACTTTTCTCCAACAAAGGCTGACTCACTTCTAGCATATTCCGATGCAGGTTGGGTTTCAAATCAAGAAGACAGTCGTTCTCAATACGGGTACGCTATATTTCATGGACCAAATCTCATCAATTGGACCTCTCGGAAGCAAAAGTTGTTGCTCGATCAAGCACTGAAGCAGAATATCGAGCCTTAGCATATACCACCGCTGAATTGTTATGGCTCAAACACTTGATTCAAGAACTTCAGGCACCCATAACCAAACAACCAATGATTCTATGTGACAATGTCGGGGCTATCTTCATGAGTAAAAATCCGATTATCAGCACCAGGTCAAAACATATTGCCTTAGGTTTTCACTTCATTCGTGAACAAGTAGAAAATGGTACTCTAAAATATCTGCTATATCTCCTCAGTTGATCAAGTTGATCAGTTGGCAGACATTTTCACAAAGCCTCTCGCACGCGATCGAGTCCACATGCTACGACACAAGCTTCAAGTCCGTCCCACACTTCAGCTTGTCGGGGGGTAATAACACGTGCACTAAAAAATTCAAGATGTAGTACCAAGTCTTTCGCTTACCGTTAGTGCCATATAATTAGGCTTGTATTTCTTTCTTCTTGCTGTATAAAATTTGAATGTATGATATACGCTTTACAGTACATTTTACACATCGATTATAAAAAAAGATCGAAGAATAACATTTTGCATTGATGAATTCGAAACCCTAGGATCAGTCGTTCACCTTCTACATCAACAATAAAACAAATTACATCCCAAATCTTTACAAACATTAAACCAAGATTCTTTTTCTAGAAGTCAGCCATTAGTGTGTGATCTATACACCAAAACCCTTCAATTAGAATTAACAATCAGTTTCTTAGCCACTAATCGAATTCCAGCACTCTGTCTGTAGTCATATGGATCCAAAAGAAAACAAGCATCCACCAAGGAACCCTGACGAATCAAAGCCTCAAGTTCTGCCACGTCATACCTACTAAACATAACCCTTTCCACAGACAACGAAGATGATTCTTTCTGGTATATCTCTGTAATCCATCTTGCACTATCTCCTTCAGCTACAGTAGGTAACCTGTAAAATTCCAATAACAATATTTAACATTTATTTATTTATTTATTTAAATTACAAACCACATATTGTTCTTAAAAATGGGGAAAAAGACTTACTGTAATCTAACAGTAGGTGAGTTGTAAAACCCGGGCTTTCTGCTAACAACAGGTCTCCATTCTGAGTTACTATCGGAATCCACAAACCTCTTGGCAATATTATCACATGCATCAAGAACACCACAAAGATTTGGGGGCGCATCAACCACAAAACTTAGCCTAGGCCTTCCTGCTTGATCAACAAACTTTGTGCTGATTCCAAAACGTATCTTCAAGGCATTACATCGGATCTGCAATGGGGCGTTTCTGTGAAGGATTTGTATCTTTTGGGGTCCACGAAAAAAGGGGACAAGAGATATAGTAACAGAGGGTATGGAAACTTGATCAGGGTCGAGAAATTCAATGGTGTCAGTGTCACTGATGGCGGCAGTTTCAGCAGCGGCTGTCGGTGGTTCTTCCTCCATGGCTTCGTTCTCAATTTTGTCTATAAGTGGGCCCAAGTCAAACGGGTCGGGTTGAGCTTGTTGACCAACACCAGAAGCTGATTGATTTGGAGGGGAATTGGAAGATGATGGGCTAGTGTTTGGGCCAGTTGCATTTGCGTTACTACGGGTTCTTGTGGTGGAATTTGAGGAAACCCAACTGTTTTCTGTAAATATATCGGGAAGACTTGATTCCTACATGGAGAGCATATCATAGTTTTGTTATACAGAAACGCTCATCTTCTTCACAAATGATAATGAATGAACATTGCTTAAAAGCTTACCAAGAAAAGAACAGTTGCACAATACTTGAGAACTTCAAGATTCATTCGCACATCATCTAAACTTCTGAAAATGTTATTAAAAATGTTAAAATTTTGTATTTATGGTATGTAATGCACGTTTGTGTTGTTGAAATGCCAGACTTACCGGTGTGATTGCTTTCCAAGCCCAAAATAATCTGCGAGAGTGGCCATCTGAACAAAAGAGGAGGAGGAGGATGAGCATAGCAATAGTTGAGAATCGATTTAAAGGACGAACGATTATATTTATACCTTCATGTTTCCAGCTCTCCTACCAAATCTCTGTGTCAACAAAGCCAATGAATCAATGGTTCCTTTGGGCTCCGGTGGTGGTCTATTAATCTGCGCAAACGCCTCCCTCAACCCTCACGCAATCAAACCTAATTATATTGTGACCTGCCCATATCCTCCCTACCAAACGATACAACAAACGCCCAATTCAATTAGTTAAACGTTTACAGAGAAACTTACTAGCGTAGGAAGATACTGAAGCTCAAATTACCATGTAAGATGTCGTAAACCTTATCCGCGATGTCAGAGAAGGTCGGGGCGGAAACGACAGCATCGGCGGTGATACCGTTGGCGCGAACGGACAAGGTGGAAATGAGTGAGAGGGTCATGTGGTCTTACCAGCGTCTCGTAGCTTTCGAGCTCAACGAGCTTCCTAGGGCAAACCAGTATCGAACCGAATTCCAAGATGGCAAACCCCTGACCATGTCGGGTCGGGACAGTTGTTTCCAGGTCAAAGAAAGCTATCTCCGATCGATCTATGCTCGACACCATATCGTCAATCTGTGTGAAGAAGTTAGAAATTCGCAGAAAAGATTGAAGATTTAGGGCGCGAACTTGGAGTTGGTGTTGTGCAGGATTTTGGGTTTTGTTTTTATAGAGGAATGGGCATGAAGCAAAGCACATGGGGTTTGGCTTTGAGGAGAAGTTTAGAAGAAACGTCTGGTATTACCTTTCTACCCTTTCACAAGAAAACGGTGTTCCCAGAAGGCAAGAACCTTCTCATTAAACTTGATCATAATAATAATTATTTATCTTTTTCATGAAAATGACATTCTATTTCTACTCATATGGGAAAGAATTATCAGAAATCAAGATAATTTATTTAAGTATTATATTGTGTATTTCTTAAATAGAATAACATTTAGATAAAGTCTTTATACGAATTTTGTAGCTTAAGAGAACAATGTTAAAACTACAATAACTAATAAGTGATATCACTGTGTAATTGTGTGTTTTATCCGACCTTATAACTCATCCACATGAAAAAGAACTCAACATCTTTCATGGCATAAATAAGTCAAATTTCTTCAACATGTTTAATATATTGTCAGCATACATGTGTTGAATGTGTATTATATGTGTTATTTGTGTATATTATGATAAATGTGAGACATAGTAGAGAAATGGTGAGATGCAATAGGAAAAATGTTAGATGTTATAATCAATTCAGGAGTGATAAGTTGTTATATTTTAGGCAGAATAACATCGTTTTGCTTTTAAAAGCTGCTAAACCACTTGATAGTTTAGAGAAAGTAAGGTTTTTTTAACCATTTAGAGGCTTTTAATCCATCATGTATCAAACACTTTAAATGCTAACCGGATTCAATGACCTCTGAATGGTTACATACTTACATTCGATTGTTATCAAACAAACAACCCCTGAAAGTCTGAAACGTCAATGTTATGCTACTAAAAGTTGCTAAAATACTTTCTAATTTAGGAAGGCCATGTCACATTATAAAAAAATAAAAATAAAATCATTTCATTGTTTTAAAAACAGATTTATATATTAAACAACACTAAATATCATTAAAGCTAATAAAAATTATACATTTTGATTACTTAATATCATCAATAGTCTAACAATTATATTTTATTATATATTTTGATTACTAATAAGTTAACAATGAAATAACTTTATATTGTAAATTTTTCCTATTACTAAAAATGCAGTTATACATAAATTATTTTTATAATTACTATTTTATTAATTAACTGAATAATATACTTAAGTTGATGCGACACAAATAAAAATAAAATTGGTGTGATAGTCTAACAACCACATGTAACAGTGCCAATGATTATCCAAGAAATCCAGAGAAAAAAAATATATAATAAATACAAAAATAAAAAAAATAAAAAAATCCCAAGAAGATATCCAATTGAAAGACAAACTCCTCAAAAGTTACCTAAGCACGAAGTAAAATGCAACATGTTGAACAAAAAGCAATATGCAAAGATACTTTATCAAAACAATCAAGTTTTCACATAAACCATTACCACAAGCAAACACCATCTTCTATATCTTCCAATATTAATATACCACCTTCTAAACAATTTCTTTCCCAATTTACCCCCTTAACAAGTCATAACTCATAACACTAGTTTCCATTGAGCATATCTTAAACTCTTAAAGCATATAACCCACATTTTAAGGCATTTCAATTTTCAACAAACAGTGTTATATAAATGTGGCCATAAAATATGGAGGCTGATAGCATCATAGCATATGTAAATTGTAAAATTTCAAAAACATAATAATATAATGTAACTTAACTATTGAGTGATATAAGATTGAGCTGACTCATAAACATCAGGCATGTATCCAGTTAACCCTGCTTCCATGGTGACTAAAAGAAGCATCTCATAAATCAAAGACACATCATGCTTATCACCTGCCAAAAACTCATGAACTGATCCATCAATCTGTATCCAACTTCTTCCAGGAGGCTTCTTAAGTGCCATTTTAACCATATACTCCCTCACATTTGCAACATCTTTCCACCTCTTAGCACCAGCATATACATTTGATAATAGTACTAAATAAGCAACAGCTTTATCATCTTCAAGATTCAAATCACCAATCTTTTCACCAATTTTGGAAGCAAGATCCACATTCTTGTGAATTCTACAACCACCAAGTAAAGCACCCCAGATTGCATCATTTGGCTCCATGGGCATGGATTCCACAAGCTTATGTGCTTCATCTAAAAATCCAGCACGACTTAACAGATCAACCATGCAACCATAATGCTCGATTTTTGGCTCAATTCCCCAAATGGGTTTCATGTTTTTGAAGATATAACGACCTTCTTCAACAAAACCTGAATGGCTGCAAGCGTGTAAGACAGCTAGCATGGTTATGGCATCAGGTTGTGAACTATGATCATGATCATCTTTTGTGTCTTGAGAGTCTTGCATCCATTGGAAGATACTTAACGCGTCTTTGCCATGGCCTTGTTTTGCAAAACCTGAGATCATTGTTGTCCATGAGACAGTAGTTCTTGTTGGCATTTGAGCGAATAGTTTGTATGCATCATCAATAACACCACAACCAGCATACATATGTAAGAGTGAATTATTCAAACGAACTGTGCGTTGTTTGTTCTTGATGTGCCAACTTCTGTCAATGTAAGAATGGATCCATCTCCCCATTTTCAAATCACCGATTTCTGCACAAGCAGATAAAGCAGAGACTAAAGTCACCTGATCTAATTCCATATGAGCTTGTAGCATTTCACGTAACAAAGATAGTGCTTCCTTACACCTCCCGTTATGTGCAGATCCTGAAATTAATGTTGTCCATGAAACGATATTCTTCTCGGGCATTTTATCGAATACTGTACATGCACCATCAATGTCACGACACTTAACATATCCAGCAAGCAGTGTATTCCAGGTTACCACGTTTCTCTCACCCATTTCATCAAACACCTTACGTGCATTCTTCACTCCACTAGAGTCTCCCTCTCCGGCTACCGCATAAAGATTCACTAAATTAGTTTGCACGAACAGATTTGAACAAAACCCACCTGCTAAGACCTTCCCGTGAAGCTTCTCTCCCAATCGTAGCAGTTTACCCCGGGCACACGCATTGATCACATACGAGTAAGTGTACTCGTCTGGCATTGCTCCTGATGCCAGCATTTCATCAAAAATATGGACTGATTTACGAGGGGCATCAGTCCCGGCATACCCTCTAATGATTTGATTCCAGGAGGTAGTGCTAGGGTTGTTGATTTGTTCAAAAGTTTGGCGGGCATGATGAAGATAACCTGAAGATAGATACGATTGGAGCAACTTAACAATGATGAAATTTCTTTGGGTATAGGCGTTGGTGATTATCTGGGCGTGGATTTGGGTGGTTTTTCTAATGGTGTTGGTGTTTTGGAGATTACTGAAGAGGAATTGTTGCAAAGATCTAGCAGTTCTAGGGTGTTTTAGAGCGAGGGCGGGAAACCCTTCTTGAACCAGCATATAGAAAAAACAAAATTGAAGGCTGTAAAGTGTCTCAAACGTCAATACCACTCTTCGGTAGGTGGTTGTCAAGAGGAGGAGAACGATATATAAAGAGGATCTTTGGATAAGTAGTTTTTACGTTATAGTTGGTTTATTTGTTAATTGTGGTGAGAATAAATATTTATTTTAAAATATGTTTTGCTTAACTTATGTAAGCAATAAATATTTAAGTGTTTGGTAAAATAAAACAGTTTATATGAATAAAATGATCAATAAGCAATAAGCATTCACCATCTTGCTTATTAAAATCAGCTTATTTTGCTTATTCCTACCGCAATAAGTTGATTTTTAAAAACTTTTATCCAAACACTTAAATTTGCTTATTACGGTGGGATTAAACAATAAACAATAATCAACCTATTTTTTCCCTATCCAAACACCCTCAAAGTTTATGGTGTGATATAAAATTCTAAAGATAAAACTGCAAATTTAGTCCTTGTGGTTTGTAAAAACTTTTGGATAGAATCCAAAAAGTTTTCGATTTGCATGGAAGGTTCAAAATTAAGGTTTTTCCTATGTTTTTAGTCTAAAAAAACTTGAAAAGACGGTTATACCCTTTTACTTTCTTTTTTGTATTTTTTATAAATTTTCAAATACTAATTTAATTTAAGAATAAAAAGAAAATAAAATAATTATCCCCCAACCCTCTCTCTCTCTCTCTTTCTCTCTCTCTCTCGTTTAATTCCCAGAACACAATCCATCACCATCATCTTCTTCAAAACTCAGCTCCACCCTTCTTCCTTTCTCACGTATCGGTCCTCTCTCCCTATCCAGTCAAGCACCATGTTCACATATTAGATAGAAGAAAAGCTTAAAAGGAATCCCATCAAGCAACACAACAACCATCATTGTAAAAAAAATCAACCCAAACATCTTTGTCGAGCTCCACTATCCACGAGAGCAGAGCGCCAAAAAAAAAACAGATCGGTGGTCTAACTGCCACCAAGATCTTCGTCCTTAGGTACACCGAAAAATCCAAGTTTCAAGTTCCGTTTTTTGTGTTGTGGTTTAGATCTTAAAGGTTAATCTCCATATTAACATTCATTGGTGGTTTTTTATTTTGGGGGTTAGCAAAATCGACGTCGCCGCCATCTAATTCCCGTACTCCTCCGTTACAACCACCGTCGATCACCACCGCTGCAACCAACAGCGACCACTATCGCTGCAATCTCATATGGGTTTTCTAACCTACAAAATAACCCATATATGATGGGTAGAAATCAAAAGTTTAGAATCAATCCTCATCGGTGAGTTACCTAATAAAATTTGGGGGTTAAAGAGTCTTGAAGTGATCTACATTAAAGGGAATTTGGTTACTGGAGGCTTATCCATGATCGATTTCTCCAATTTAAAGAAGTTGCAGGTTCTTTGACCGGATGCCTAAGATTCTTTTGACAATCAATTTTTGAATTTTGACTTGGGTAAGATAATAGAGTAGTGTGTTGTTGAAGGGGAAAGGGGTTTCATTGTATGTTTATGGGACCGGTGGTCGGGTTCGATCAGCAAGAGGCTGATCAAAGTAAGGAGTATGCCGATGGAGTTGTGTAAGATTATTAAAGATGAATAGGAATGAATCTGGGTTAAGTTAGGAGGGAGAGAGGGGGGGATAATTATTTTCTTTTCTTTTTATTTTTAAATTAAATTAGTATTTGAAAATTTATAAAAAAAACAAAAAAAAACGTAAAAGGGCATAATCGTCTTTTCAAGTTTTTTTGGACCAAAAACACAGAAAAACCTTAATTTTGGACCTGTCATGCAAGTCGAAAACTTTTTGGACCCTATCAAAAGGTTTTTACAAACCACGAGGACTAAATTTGCACTTTTGTCGATTCTAAACTTTTGAAAAGTTTGAATTTATAAAAAATACGAGGAAATATTGAATTATAAAAATTAAAGTATTTTTTTCATTTAAATTTAAACAAATAATTTAGATAAATAAGTATAGAAAATTAATGAATATTTAATTTAGTAATTTTAAAATTAGAAAGAAAAGTTCAAATTGATATGTATTTATTATTAATTTAAATACTATATAAAATTTAATAAAATGAAAAAACCATAAAATAACATGTGAAATAAAAATTAATTTAAAATAACCACAAAATTACATATAGCAAAATAAAGAAGAATACGACATGTGGCAAAAATATATTTATTTATTATGGATGATTAATTTTTTAAATGTATAAAAAAATAATTAATTAATTAATTAAAAATGATAAAATAGTCTTTTGAGGTAAGACAGAGACCAAACGCACAACAAAAATAAACAGTAAATATCATCCGAGTTAAAAAATAAGTTAGGGACCAAACACATACATTAACTAAACTACAATGACCATTCATGTAATTTACTCTTTCCTTTTCAGTTTGTTCACATTTAGGTAAGTATCTTTTTTTGATACACATCTAGGTAACGGACTTTTTGGAAATGTTCATATATGATCATTATGACCGGATGTAACCTGCTACAGCCAGTCATATATGAACACTTCCAAAAATTTTGTTACCTAGATGTGTACAAAAAAAGATAGTTACCTAGATGTGAACAAAACGAAAAATTAATTACCTTAATAAGTTTATTTCCCTTAATTTTGATGCACGACAATTGAGATCCAAGTTAGTAGCGAGCTGGCATACACATCAATATTAGATAAAGAGATGGAAACATGATAAATGCCAAAAAATTAGATTTCTTATATATAGATAAATTATATTACCTAGATGTGTACAAAAAAATAGTTACCTAGATGTGAACAAACCGAAAAATTAATTACCTTAATAAGTTTATTTCCCTTAATTTTGATGCACGACAACCGAGATCTAGGTAACTTACTCTTACCTTTTCAGTTTCTTCATATTTAGGTAACTATCTTTTGTTGGTACACATCTAGGTAACAGACTTTTTGGAAGTATTCATATATGACCATTATGACCGGATGTAACATGCTACAGCCGGTCATAATGGTCATATGTGAACACTTCCAAAAAGTTTGTTACCTTGATGTGTACAAAAAAAGATAGTTACCTAGATATGAACAAACTGAAAAATTAATTACCTTAATAAGTTTATTTCCATTAATTTTGATGCACGGCAACCGAGATCCAAGTTAGTGGCGAGTTGGCATACACATCAATATTAGATAAAGAGATGGAAACATGATAAATGCCAAAAAAATTGGATTTCTTATAAGTTCATATGAGACCGTAATATTTTGTGAGACATTGGGACAAGATCACAACCACTCTTCTAAATTGATCTAAGGTTCAGATTTAATCAAAAAAATTGAAAGAGGCGGTGGCAGTTGTATAAATAACCCAAATTTTGTAATTAACTAGAATAAGCAGAGGGGTAGAAACGTAACTTAGTGTATTCAAACAAATTCTTCTCTTTTCATACAAATTTTCATTTGTTAAAATTCTTTCAACCAAAACCCTTTCATCAAGAAATCCCTTCCATGTTACAAATTTGTTTCTGATTTTGATTAACCCTAAATCGACATTGAAAGTTCAAGCCAGGTATTTTGATTATAGCTTGAGTTCTTCTATGATTTCACTCGAAAACAGATCGAAGATTGTTCTATAGATTTCATTCTACTATAAACTTGTTTGTAATTTCAATTTACACAATCAATCGGTAAAAACGGCTCATTCTACTCGATCCGATACCAGTTTTGTATCCAAATATATTCCAGGTAACATATAATACTATACTCTTTATGTGCGATTTTCATCTAGTGGTATGAAGTCGAGAAGTTTTGCTTACATGTATCGATATTTCTAATACATAAAACTATGTATGTAACTCTTCATTTGCCAATCTTCATTTCATAGTTTTCCCCAGGAACCCCTCATAACCGCACTAATCATTGAGGAAACTGATGAATCAGTATTAAAAAAAAACCTAGTACTGGTAAAAACACAGAATTGAAAAACCTGGCCTTTTATTCGAGTTTTAGCATCAAAAAACACTATAAATCACACATTAATCATAGATTATAAATGGTTCAACTAAATCATATTCAGATTGCAAGTATTTTCAATATAATTTGATTTTAAGTGTTATTTTGTTTCATTAACTAGGGTGATCAAATGAAAATTAAGTAAATATGTATTTAATGACTTTCTATTATATGTATTCTAATTTGATAAGTCAGATATTGCTTTGTTTTTTTTAGTTTATATGTTATTTGGTTAGAAATTACTTTCTTTAAATCTTTTTGTGGAAGTAAAATATATTATTCTGATATTAATTGATATATTATGAATTAATGTGAAATATTTTGAAATTATATGTCATATATGACATTAGACATTATGATTTTGTTGGAAACAACTTGCTTTGAACATTTTTGTTAATAATGTGTGATGTCTGATTTTAGACATTCTTCTTTTGTTGGAAATAACTTGTTTTGAACCTTTTATGAAGTATCGTCTTCAGTTAACAACGAAGTAATGTGATATATTCTGAAATTATGTGTCATATTCTAATTTAAAATATGTAATATTCTAAGTATTATGAATAGTAAAATTTAAGTTCTATTGTTTTTGTGTTGATCAATTATACGATAAAGTACACATACATTGAAATAAGGTTTAATACATGAATATTCTAGGAAAATTTGGTTTAAGACAATTTCAGATTCCTTCTTATTTGGATTTTCAAGATTATGATTATGATTCTGAAAATGGGTCAAGTTCCGGATTATCAATCATTCCTAAATCAATGAGATTGAAGCTTGTTATTCCAGCAAAGGTCTCATTATACACAATCAGATTTGGATTTCACGTCTAAACTTATTCTAGGTAATGTATACTACTATAATCTCTTCACAATATTATCTTTGTATGTGATTTTTAGTTAATGTGTTATAATCGTCGATTTTATCTCTCCGTGTGACTTTGAGTTAATATAGTCATCTATGCAAAATTCTATAAATATTTGTGTTTTAATTATA